TGGGGCGAAGAGAAGAGAGGAGGAGGACGGAGGAGGGAGGAGGAAGAGAAAGAGCAAGGGGAGAGGAAATGAGGAGGAGGAGGAAGGTGGTAGGCGGGGAGTGGGGAAGGAGAAGGAGAGGAACTGAAGGTGCTGCAGATTACAAAGTCCCTCTCAACAACCAGATCATCATGCACATCCAGCCGAGGCTGGCTGCTGTCAACAAGACACCCGCCAGCACTTCGCAAGAACATGTGAAGTAAGGAAACATTGAGGAGGAGGTGGCGTTGTTGGCGATGAAGATGGAGATGATGATTGATATAGAGATGAAGCAGATGATGATGATGATGATGATGATGATGATGATGATAGGGAGGAGAAGGGGGAAAAGCTGAAAGTTGTGGTGGGCGTGATGGTAATGTTTATGGTGGAGACTGGTGGGAGGGAGGCGGGGAGGGGAAAAGTCGTTTCCTCCCGCTCATGCACTTCTTCATTTCCTGTTGCAACAACTGACCTTGTTATTCTCTTTCAGCAAGTGCTGCATCATCTGCTGAAATTTTTCCTGGGGATCGAGACATCATGTTAGACACCTCTGACATGCTGTCGACTACGATTCACATGCTTTGAATCCTTCCCCCCGTCCTCTCTCCTCTCCCCACATCGACACCACCCTGCAGACTAATTATGCTGTACAACTCGTAGACGACTCAGATCCTGTTTGCAGCTTTTGATTTCTATTTCGTAAATGTCATGTCCTACCCCCTGCACTTCAACCGGCTGCCACAGTGTGCAGCGCTGCCATCTCTTGCGCAAAGAGCTCCCATGCTGCAAGACTCCAAGTCACTCTTGGGACAAGAAGGCAGCAGGAAGCATGCAGCTGACTTTGCAAGCAGCTCGTCTCCACTTGTCGAACCCACCAATCTCTGCTATCCACGTGAGCAACGACACGAGCACTCCAGCAACCAGCGGGACCTGTCGAAGAGGGAGGATGCTTGCTTCTCTCCCATGAGCTTCTCGTGCAGTCTTGCCATCTCCTGCGGCCTGTGGCGATCGCTCGGTCAAGGTAGGAGCAGACAAGGAGAGGGAAGAGCGTCAGGCGCGAACATGAACACGTCACAGACTCTGAACACGTCAAAGACTCGCCTCGAGATCAACTTGGTTGCAATCTCTTCGTAATCCTGTAAAAGCTATCATCAAATCTATCCCCTCCTCCTCCTCCTCCTCCTCCTCGTCCTCCTCTCCTCCTCCTCCTCCCCGACTGCCTCCTCGACCGCCTCCGCCTCCTCCTCCTCCTCCTCTCCTCCCTCGACCTTCTCCTCCTTAAAACCATCATCGACTCTTCCTGTTCCTGCCTCTCCTCTTCCTCTCCTCCTCCATTCCCCCTATTCGTCATTCCCCTCCATCTCCTCTCTCTTCTACCTCAAGATCCCTCGCAATTATCTCTGGCAGGCCAGCAGCAATCACAACGCTGTCACACACGTCAGCTCATCCCCCCCCCTCCCCCCTGTTTCTGCTCCTCCGCTTTCCCCTCCTGCTCCCCCCTGCTCTCCTCGCCATCCTCTTCCCGCATTCTCCTGCTACTGCTCGTGCTCGTGCTCGTGCTTCTGCTCCTGCTCCTCTACCTCGCTGCGACTCTGGACGAGTGAGCCTACAGTGAGCGTGAGAAACGTTCCAATCTCTCGCTCCTTCACTTCACCTTGCTGCCTGGCAGCGTCAGCACAGGAACACCCGAGGAGAGGACCTGAGACACTCGTGAGGAGCAGAAGAGGAGGAACGAGGAGATGAGGGCGAGTTGAGGAGCAGGAGCAGAGGGAGGGGCAGGAGCAGGAGCAGGAGCACTGCAGGAGCAGGAGCAGGAGCAGGAGCAGGAGCAGGAGCAGGAGCAGGAGCAGGAGCAGGAGCAGGAGCAGGAGCAGGAGCAGGAGCACTGCAGGAGCAGGAGCAGGAGCAGGGGCAGGAGCAGGAGCAAGAGCAGCAGGGGCAGAGGGGATAGAGAATAGGCAAGACCTCTGTTGCTGTTCCATGCGCGTTATATTCAGGGGTGTCAAGAAACAAATCAGCGACTCTCTTTCCCTTGATTCTTTCTTGCTCCTGTAGAGGCGGAAGTGAGGTGAAAGGAGAGAGAAGGGAAAAGGCAGGAGAAGGAGAAGGGTACGGGAGGGGAGAGGGCAGGAGGAGGAGGAGGAGGAGGAGACTGGAAAGGAGAGGAGAAGAGAGGAGAGGGGAAGGGAGAGGAGGGAAAAGTCACCGAGAGCAGGTCGGTAAAGATCTTGACATTCGTTGAAGAAATTTTCTCAGCTCAAAGTGAACTTTGAAATTTCAAACTCACGAGGAAGTTTTTGAACTCCTTTGCAAAATTCTTGAGGTTCCGCTCAGCTGGCAGAGCCTCTGCGATGAACAAGATGAAAGTTGGTCAGAGCAGCGAAGGAGGAGGTCGAGGAGGAGGGAAGGAGGAGGTCGAGGAGGAGGTCGAGGAGGAGGAGGAGGAGGTCGAGGAGGAGGAGGAAAGTGAAAT